TGCGTTAAAGCAACACTTGTTCGAGCTCAAAATCTCGCTCCACAAAGGCACCGCCCAACGACTCGCTCAAGGAAAGTCACCTTTGCGAATGTTTCCATTCAATATGGAAACTCCTCCAAAAAAGACTCAGCATAGTGAGGCACCAACTTTAGCTTAATTAGCTGTGGCGGCCATCTTGAATTGCCTGACTTCAAATGTTAATCGGTTGTAGATGTACGTGCGGTGATTAACTTCTGGGAGATTCGTTCAGATCAAATCCTTTCCCTCCATCATTTATTTAAATGCTGCGGTAAGTAACAGTAGATCTTCCAGCCTAAAAGATAAATTAGATGTCAGCGCATCTTTCAGGGCAGTTTTGAGCTTCTGTGCTCCAGCCGGCATGACCTTGTTTCCTCTTCAAATGGTTACCAGCCAGTCACTGAGACAGCAGTGGAATACAGAGGACAGGAGCGTGAGATTACCACCAGATAAAAGCACACAAGGACACAATGACACCTATAAAAGATTGTTTGTATGCTAAACAGTCAGTGTTGTGCTGCCAGTCCTGATTCTAGCTGCTGTGTTGCACTTTTTCTTCCAGAAACTGATGTGGAAACATAATTATTTTTATGATGTAAACTATACACATTTTGTCTACAAAAATCACAACTCAGACAACTTGATACCCTAATGTCATGAAATGGATAGCTTAGATGAGAGTTAATTACACTAACTGTAGGTTGAGTTTGCAGCTCATATTCCTGTCAACTCGTTGTTTTTCCTCACAAATTCAGGAGGGTTTGGCAGAAAGTGATATGTCAGAATTGGCAGGATTGGGGACAGAAAGATGACGAAGAATATCCACCATCTTTGTCTGGATTCAGGGGTGTCTCAGGGCCTGGTGGAGCTCTCCCAGACTCATCCAGCATTCCTTCTGTGTCACATGCTCAGAAATGATCACCATCCCCTTCCATCCACCACCGGTGCCACCTCCTCTCCCCCTCCTGCTCTTCCATCTCATCTGTGCCAAATCTTCTCTTTTCCTTCGTTCTCCCTCTTGCTCTCTGCTGCATCAACCTCCGCCCCTCTGCCCCATCTGCCTTCCTACTGTCAACCCTCCTCTCAGCCCCTCAACCGCTCCCTGCACTAGACCTATCTCCTTTCCCCCCCTCCCTCTGTAAGGCACAAATACACATGTTCCATCTGATGCTTGCACACTAAATCCCAAGCCTGACTGAGAATAAAACGCAGTAAAGCTGCTGTAAATTGGACAGACTGAGCAGACAGAAGATGTCCTCTGTCTCTCCTGCTGACTAATGGACACGTTCTGCTCAATCCTCTTCACACTTTCAGGATTTACGGCACGGATGCAAATAAATCCCTGTTCAAGATGGAGATTATTAAATGAGAATATTATTTTTGTATTATTTAGCAGAAGCCCTATCATGTTCCGTGGCCACATTTTGCTGTCTTATCTCAACCCCCCCATGCAGAGCCAAACTCCTCAGGATTTGTGTACCTCTCACTACACATTCACATCCACAGAGAGCCAGTTGTAAGTGCTGAGCACCTTATTGTGTGATGGCGGTGTTTTTACTCTCCTTCCCCCATCTCGTTCCACAGCTTATGGGCCTGGACAAGAGCTCAGAGACACCCGGCACACGCGGAGACATCTTTGATGCCTCCTCCGCTTGTCTTACGTGCGGTACTTATGTAAACTGTCTATGGAAAGCATTCTATAAGAATCAAGGATGCTCCTGGGAGATGATGAGTCAAATTGCAAGTGTAAGATAGCGGCGTCCATTGGCACTGAGCTGGGAGGGTGGAGGAGGGGATTGGCCAGGCTGCGTGACTGCCTTGGTGCCATCTCTGAGCATCACTTCCCCCCCACCACCACCACCATTTCATCAATCGGACAACTCATCTTTGCATAAAGGCAAAGCAATCAAAAATAAATGAATAAGAAGCAGAGAGAGAAGCTTACCGTGTTCACAAGCCAGCCTCCATTTACAAAGGATACTGCAGACAAGCCCCTTTGCAGGGAGAGAAAGCCTGTGTGCAATCCACCTCTAGTTCCTCTGCTTCATCCTCACATCATCCTCATCTTCACTGGCTCTCACACACCAACACACACAAGTTCATCCCTCCCTCCCTCTCTCTCTCTCCTTCTCTCCCTCCCTCTCTCTGTCTTTCAGCGGGCCTCTTCTTCTGTTTTCTAAACGTTCTGTATCCTCTCTTTGCTTGCTCCGAGGCAGCTGAGACACTGCAGCGATGGGGGTGGAGGGTGTGTATTTATGTGTGTGTTTGAGTGTGTCAGAGACAGAGAGGCAGAAATGGAGGGAGGAGTCAGCAGGGATACAGAGAGAAAATGAGAGAGAGAGAGAGAGAGAGAGAGAGAGAGAGAGAGAGAGAGAGAGAGAGAGGCGAGGGGAAATGGTCAGGATTAAATCATGAGAGGAGCAGAGAGACAGGGAGAAAACACACTTTGATGGCTGCAGCATCCTCCTTTCACTGTGGTTAAATATGTATAAAGTTAAGGAATCCGAGCCTCCTGTCCGGACATAGAGGAGGTAAAAGTACCTGTTCTGTCAGGGTGTGATGTGCTTCATGGCAGCGAAGCAGCACAATTGGTTGTGATTTCATTGATGAAGGGGGGAACATGCAAAGGCAGGGAGGGGAGGAGGGGACCGGACAGAGGAGAGGAGAGGAGAGGAGGTGGGGAATGACGACAAAGAGAATAGAAAGGCGGGGTGGGGGACTGGATGGTGTAATGTGCTGTTTCCGTGCCAACTGTTTCTGTGACAGTGGGACCACTTCCTTTATTGCTATTGGCTATAAGCAGGAACTGATAGAGGCTCGGGCAAATAAGGCAGCATGAGACACGGTGTGAATGGCTGGTTCCTCCCTGGTGTTTCTTCCTTTTCTAGTTTATCTCTCAGCACAACAACAACCCATGAATACAGAAATGAATGCATACAGTTGAACTGAAGCCACAGAAATTCACAGCATGCGTGGCCGCGGGAGAACCAAAAGTTCACACTTCTGCAGCATAAAGAGTTCCCTCCCTTGTTTATATCACACTCTGTTCAGCAGAAACAAGTCCCCCGGATCAGGTTGCTCAGGGTGTGTGGTGTAATGCTATTGCCTAGACACTAACCCTGGGGCCATAAACTATGAGATAATTAATTGGCTGAAGGCCAAAGCAAATACACGTCAGATAGGAAGGCGGTGGAGGGGGGGTAACCTGCTTCTCTCTGACCTTTTATCTGGGATTTTTCATTTGGGAAGCAAGGTGGTGTGATGCCCACCATTAGTTCTCAGAGGCACCCCCTCCTTCAGGACTCAATATAGGGTGGATCAGTAAGACCTCGTTTTTAATAATGTCTGAAAAAAACAGTCCTGTAAGAGATGCAGATACTTCAAAAGATTTGAACCATTACTTTAAGGGTTTTGAAGTGCGGTTCTGTTAAAGGATATGAACAATTATTATCTTACCTGTTGTAGATAGTTCTTTGAATGGGTTTGGTTTGGTGCAAAAGACTTTGATCCTGACCAGATTGTCAATATATCATCCTTACATTAAGCTGGTGGCTTCCCTCTGCCTCTGCTGACACAATAAAAATTTAAAAAGCTATTCTGACACGACAACCTTAAATCTACATCTGTTTTTACAGTAGGAATCTAAAGTTTTTTTTTTTTTTACTTTTATTAAGTCAAACTTTGGATAATTTCTTCTAAAGAAAAAATAAACTCTCCAGGTTTAATATTTTATGTTAGTGATGTGCTCATTTTTTTTATGTCAAAAAAGCTTTAGCCTTAGTCATGTTGCATAAAGTCCACAAGGGTACATTGGGGATTTTTTTCTTTTGTGTTCTTATGCAATACTATTGCATTACCTCTCAATACTTTTTGCGATACCTCGCAATACTTTTTGCGATACCTCGCAATACTTTTTGCGATACCTCGCAATACTTTTTGCGATACCTCGCAATACTTTTTGCGTTACCTCGCAATACTTTTTGCGTTACCTCGCAATACTTTTTGCGTTACCTCGCAATACTTTTTGCGTTACCTCGCAATACTTTTTGCATTACCTCGCAATACTTTTTGCGATACCTCACAATACTTTTTGCGTTACCTTGCAATACTTTTTGCATTACCTCGCAATACATCTTGCGATACCTCTCAGTACTTTTTACGTTACCTCACAATACGATACCTCGCAATACATTTTGCGTTACCTCGCAATATTTATTGCAATCCCTCACAAAAGCCATTTATTACCGTTGTGTCTGCCGGCTTTAACAAATTCACGTACTCCCCATTAAAATGGGAGTTAGCTTACTACTTTAATTCAGCTTTGGATAAAATGTATCACAGACGCACGCATGAAGATTTAATATGCAGATATTTGAACTCTGTGCAGTCACAAAATATCACCGTCAATTTCTCGAACTTGTGGCGACACATCCTGTTTTGGTAACGGGATATTTCAAAATAAAAGTCTGATTTAATTCAGCTTGTACAAAACAAACTTTTGCGAGGTAATGCAACATGTTTAGCAAGGTAATGCAAAATTATTCTGGGGAACGCAAAAGAAAAAAACCCTATGTCCCATCGCAGGCTCCGTAATGGTGTTAGTTGATACAAAAGGCAAAAAGATTTGTTGATGAACACGTCACGGTAACGAGCCACGTGTTTGTTTGAAAACCAGTTTGCCTTTTAAAATTTTCCCGAAATTTCTCAGCTGTTTGGTAAACAGATGACTGACTTTATTTTGGTCTCTTTCTACTTCAGCAGTTATTACCCATTGAAAAACTATCCCACTCCATGACTGGGACGTTTGCTTCTTTACCGTTTCGCTCCCTTCTATTCTACCCTTTTAACTTAAACATATTTTACCTTCTTAAACAAATTTCAGCTGTCACTCAGCAGTCATTGTGTTTTAACAGACAATGTCATTTCTCTGGTTAAAACAACATTTATTTATAAATCATCTCAGTTGTACAAATTTATTTTACCTTGTGTCTCTAGTATTGCCTGTGAGGACCAGCTGACCTTTTTATTCTCCATGACCTCTCGCGATCCCTTTTTTGTCTCTTCTGGATTGCATCCATGTCTCTCCCGACTTCCCAGCTCCCCGGCTCCCTAATCCGTAATCCTGTAGAAATCGGTCAGGCAGAATGAGCTTGCTTTGATCACACTCTCATATCACGCATGTGAAAAGTGTCAGCGCACTCGGATCCACAGAAACCCTGAGCCCAGGGGGGGGAAGAGCTTCAAACAGGCGTTCACCCCCCCGGACTCTGCTTGAGAGCAAAGGGAAAGAGCGGCTGCAGAGTTCCTGACTCCACTGGAAGCTGCAGACTCTTGCAAAAGCCACGCTTAGCAAATATTTACATTATGACTTGATATGATGTGGCTGAGATGACACCTGTGCTTTTCCACGTGACCTGTGAGAAAAGGGATCAGAGACTTTTTGAAGCTTGAAAAAGAGAAATGAACGTTTCTTCTTTAAGATTGGCCCTAAAAGCTTGTTTTCTGGCACTTGTGAACATATGACTGAGTGGAAAACTTACTTAAATTACTTTCTGGTCAAAGAAAAAAATGTCTCACACTATTTTCAACCATTCTATGTCAAGGATAGAATGATTATGCAACGTACAACACAGGGTTTTTAAAAACAAGAACTTGTTGAGTTTATTGTCGATTTTTTTCTAATCCACACAGGTTCACAATTACAATATGCTCATATGGACTAAACCCTCACTAATTAATTAAACGTGGTTTAGCATGGTGCCTCTCAACAACAAGTTTTATTTGTAGCCATCGACAAGTTTCTAATTCTGCCTGGATGTTTTAAATAATTCACAACAGTGCTGCACAGTGTTTCACTTGGTAGAGCTGTTGCACGAAGTTGATCGAATCTCGGCCTGGTACCTTTCTGGGTAAACTTTGCATGTTCTTTCTGATTTTCTCTGAGTACTCCGGTTTCCTCCCACAGACCAAAAACATGCACATTAGGCTGATTAGTTACTCTAAATTAGGTGTGAGTGATGAACTCGAGACCTGTCCAGGGGAGGGTGTACCCCACCTCTCACACAGTGACTGCTGGGCATGGGCACCAGTGACCCTAAAAGGAAGAAGTGGGTTAAGATACTGGATAAATGGATGGTTTTCCAGCACAAATTTTGTTTTAAACATAGTGTAGGAGCCATTTATCCTTTCTGGTGTTTATTGCCACCAGGGGGCGTAATTTAATT